GGGGTGGGGTGGGGGGCTCCTTTAGGTGCCACAGATGGTAAGACACTCCTTGCTTAGAGGGTGGTGATTGGACCATCTGGGAGGAAAGGTAGGGCCATCTACTTCCTGGGCATTCACAGCCATTGAAACCCTCAGGAGAACTCTTCTCCTCTGAAACACAGTCACCTCGAGGTGCAACTGGCCCTGGCCCCTCCCCCATTAGTAGCATTAAGATGATTGATTGCTGGAGATTGTTGTGGCTAGGATGCATGCAGTAATACAATGGCCATTAAGTTTTTCTGGGTGTGTTTTGAGTCTTGCTAATCTTTGTCTCTCTTTTCCTGAGAGAAGTTCTATAAAATGCACATGCAAAACTGCGCTCTAAACGTCTTATGATGCTTTGACACTGATTTTGGGGGTTTCTTTTTGTGACATAAACTCCATTTGTTTGGCAGTGCAGGCTTGTATATTTTGTTTGTATTCCTCTTGTCTTTTGTCTTTAGTTCCCGGTGATAATGCCCTGATCCTGTTAAGAGCAGAGATACATTTGAGCCTGAAGAACTATGAGGAGGCATTGGAGGATGCCACCGTGGTGTGTTATAGTGATTACTACTTTTCAAAGGTATTTATTTGTCGTTTTTTGGCTTTGGAGGGGGAAGCCACAAATGGCAAAGCTTATTAAAAAAAAAACGGGTGGAAACACTTCTGAACAGAGAAAAAAGAGAGACGTAAGTTGCTCCACACCCCGGGGAAGACAGGTTGCAGATAGATCCAGGAAAGTTAATAGCTATCCAAAACAACCCCTCCAATCTTCAGAATGACTGCAACACAAATGTTTAAAAAGAATATGTATAATGTCTGTTTCGGTCCAAAATGCCAGGCAGGCCAGGGAAGGAGAACGTGTTGACACATACTCTAGATAAAACATCAGACCAAACCAAGCTCACTGCCATTGAGTATATTCTGACTCGCTCTGTCCCTGTTGGACAGAGTAGAACTGCCACCATAGGTTTCAGGGAAGTAGAAAGCTTCATCTTTCCTCCAGGGAGCCAGCTGGTGGTTTTGAACTTCTGACTCTGGTTAGCGACTCAACACTTACCCATTACTATAAATTTTCTCTGTGTGGGCCCAGAGTAATTGTATATTAAGAAAACATCCGAAGGGGGTTAATTGAAGGGCGGCAGAGGGATTTAAAAAAACCAAAAACATCCCGGCCCAGTCCAGATCAAGTCCATAAGCTCCATATTAGCTTTTAAGTCCCAGGTTAAATTTAACAAAGACTCCAGAGCAGTTATTATAAAGAAGTTCAAAGAATGCATGACACGTTGTCCAAAGAGTTGAAGGAAAACGTGGGATCTTTGAATTAAAATGCTACCTGCATGAAAGGCTGAAACTAAAACTTGGAAGTTCAAAAGCTGAAATACAAATGTCAAAATAATAAAAATTCTGCTTAGTCATAACGTTA